TTTCCCCCTTAATACAGTCTCAGTAACAACTCCCAAGACAAGTGGTCAAATGAAAAGTAAAGTAAAGGATAGAGAGCTTTCAAACACTGTTCCTGTAATTGATCTCTGCCCTAAATCCGTGTCAATAACATAATTTATGCATTGGTAGCCAAAGCTTGTTACAGTAAGCACAATTTTCAAAAAATTATACCAAAGCTAGGCTTTGTTTGGGCATGATTTTCAGTGCTGAATGTTCCACAACTCCCATTGGTCAATCAACTATTGAATGCTTGGCACTATAGAAAATCAGGCCAGTTATTTTGGTACCTAAATATGGATTTACAGCCTATGTTTAGACGTGTAGGCTCCTTTTAATCTTGGTCTATATTAATAGATGCTATAGAAAACTGGGAGAAATAAAATGTCTTTGTTTCAGATATATGTTCAATCTGTAAAACACAAGAAGCTATGTCAAGTGAAATTGTGTATAAAATTAGAATGAAGGAGATAGTCATTTCCGCCCAAAGTCACTAAGTTACATCATTTAGAAATTTATGCCGCACTAGTTTCAAGGATTTCAAGATGTTATTTAATTTTTCAGTTTTGTGGGACATGGGTATTAAGAGCTTATCAGATTTGCAGTGCTAAATCTGATAGCTGTTAGAAATTAAACATTTGAAATCTTAGCAGCAACCTCCCTCTTAAGCATTTGACCTGCTGATGTTCTGTCAATGTCCCAGAATTTTGAATTTCAGTATTTCTGTCATCCTAAGAGATCTCCAGAAGAGGGTATGTTTGGACAAAAACAGTTAATTTAGGCAAACTGAATACTGTTCCTATTTTGTTCTGATAAAAGCACATTAGGAAGCAATTTAATCATTAAAGTTACACTGGACTTTGGACTGAATGTTGTCCAGAGTTTGATTTTTAAAACAAACGCAATATTGTTCAACTACTTCAGAGTTACAAAATGCTACCAAAAAGGAATGAGGATTTGTAAAAACTGCTGGGAGATGAACAGAAGTGGAATTACCTTGACCTAGAAATCTTAGTTTGATCATTCATTACAAGTATTGTTTTAGAATATTTAACTGACAACACTATGAACTAAAGCTGCTTCTACAAAACAAGACAATTTGAGGCATAACTCATGTATAAATGAAGTGTCACAATAACAGATTTTGATATTAGTTATAACACTACTTCACTGAAGAAACATCCACATTTTTATTGAAAATGGTTGCAGAACATATTTCAGATACATTTGATTCCTGAACTCTTTGTCTCACACTTTAAAAAGCACTTGAAACCTTAGTATATGATGCTTGTAAAAGTCATGAATAGATAAGATGTAGAGATGATTTATATTTTTGTCCACATATGTTGCATGAATGAAACCTGACTTGTCACACATTCCTCATATAATAATGGCAATTAATATCTGTTATGAGTACAAGCCATGCTCTAGGTAAGAGGTACAGAATGAAGCATGTTGTAAACCCATATGGAGAGTTATAAATGGGTGAGTGTAATTTACTAATTAACAAAACATTACAATAAATTTGTAGATTTTATTACAGAGCAGGTACATTTTCATGACTGTTCTACACTGTTACTGGGGGACATTTCTTAGTGGGGGTCTGTTTTGTTTAATTAATCATCTGTTACTTACAAAGTCAGGTCTCTTTAGTGAGAGTTTTCACATTTGATGATAAACTGTTTTACATTGAAAACCTGCATCCACCTTTAACGGATTATAAAGTAAATCATACCAAAAGTTGCATGTACAGTGTCATGTTTTAGGTTTTATTTAGCATGGGTCAGTAAACTTAGATATGTAGTTTATGGGTTTTAGGTTTGGAGTGAACTTAGTCTAATGCTTCAGTCAATACAATAAAGAAATTATATAGCATAACATTGGGGGAGGGGGCAAGGCTAAAACTCAGAGATGCTTCACTTAGAATGAAATCTATTCGGCTACTCTGTGAAGAACTGATCCAGGTTGGAAAGAAAGGAACTTGCTGAATGTTTTATGTTCTTACACTGTTAATAGACTGTAGGTGGGATAGACACCACTATATTTTCAGTGTGAAGAGGATGAGAAATTAATGAGAAACCTACACTTCAGAAATTGAATTAAAAATTTTCTTGTCATGTCTCAAGTTGTTTCAATGAATGCTCATCTGTCCTACAGCAAATATAAAACGAAGACATCTACCAGCCTTATTAAACTCATTATATCTTGGATTTAAATGTTTTTTCTTTGTCACATTTATTCTCTGTGCAGTAACTATGCCTCACAGTATAAACAATAGACTACACAGAGACTGGTTTTATGGCTCTTTGCAATAATTTGTAGCACATAATTCTGCCTCCTAATCCTTAATTGTGCACTTTCTTTCGGATTACTTAAAATGAATGCTTAGTGAATCTTCAAAGCTTGTCCCTTTCAACAGAAGTTGGTCCAATAAAAGATATTACCTCACCCACTTTGACTCAGGCATTTAAGAAGAGTAAAATATGTATTGCTATGTACTATGCGCTGATCATTATACAAATATGAAAAATTAGAGTCTCATTAGGTTCCACTTTGTTCAATAAAACAGAAAACCAGATCATAACAGGCACAATTGCTAAAATTATATGGTGAAGAGATTATCAAAATATCTATCTTTAGAGACAGTAAAAAACACAACACAAGCTAGTCTTTATTGATTTTCTTTACCAAGGATGTCACAGTATCCAACTGTAGTTAATATATTTGCTTGGAGAGGAAGGCCAGAAGATGGATGACCGTACCATGGACCTGTACAAGAGCCTCTTTATCATTCCTCCCAGTAGACTCTTGCTATATAGAGCTGTTAATATCCATGCTATAAGCAAGAAGATACCATGTTAGGTGTTAAGAGATAAAGGATTCTAGAGCCAATTAATTTAATCTAAATTTAGTTACCATGACTGGAAACAAGATTATGGCTGCTGTGAGATGAGAGATTTGTTTTGAGAGAATACTGTATGCTTTTGACCATTAAATATACCATGTTTACCAAAGGGGGGAGAGGGAGAAGACTAAATATAATCGCATTCAAAATGTTTCCTCTATTGTTTCCATCCATAAGTGGAATAAATTTGTTCCAACCTTGAGAAGGGGGCTGGATTTGATGACCTCCTGAGGTCTCTTCCAGCTGTATGATTCTGCATGTGTATGTGCACCCCCAATAGAAACACAGGTTGCCAACTGTGGGCATTCTGCTAATCAGCTGGGTGGCCCCTGAATCTCTCCTGAGTGGCTGCCCAAGCACACAGCTTACAGGGAACACTGATTCACAATGAATTGAGTAGATATTATAGCTGAAATGGAGTTGAGGGATATGAAATGGGAGAGAGATCAGTTTTTTTTTCTTTCTGCTTGCAACAGTGGCTTTAAAATTCAGACCTTTAGTAATACTTTGCTTAGTTCTTTAAAAATGTAATGCTTGATTTTTTTGTAAAGGCTTCTGGTTATTTCCCTTCTCTGAAAGAAGTTCCAAACCATCTTATGTGTTGCATTGTTAGCTTCATGTTAGCTTTTAGCCCTGTTGCTAAAAGTTGGCATATGTGAATGCTGTTTGTCAGGATCTTACCAATAAAATACTTCCAACTCCCACCAGAGACCTGTCAAAGTAACATTTATACTTTCACTTGCTACAGCAAAACTTAATGTTGTTCCTGGTAGACGGGTTAAGCACCCGTGAACAACAAATTCCGTTGATCAGTTGCAAGTATAGACAAAGCCTAACTTTCCTGTGACTGTTTCTCTGTTTAATAAAACCTATTTTCTTAATGATAAAAGATGAAAACCAAAATGGTTAATGAGACTGATTAAGATCAGTTTACATGTATTATGCTAAATGAAATCCTGCCAATATTCTGATTAATATTGAGTCTTGGTTTTCTTTCCCTTGAAGTAAAAACATTCTTCTAAAATATTCTAGTGCATTGTGGGTGTCAGTTTCTAGCTGGAAAGTGTTGTATTTTCAAACAAGCTCTTAATTATCAGAAAACAAGTGACTGAAATTTCATAGAACTGGGTATAAGAAGTTAAATAACGGGCCAGCCTTATCAACTCAACTATAAACAGAAAAGGAACTGTGCAAGATAAACTCTCACAGTACATGCTTTAAATACTTGGATATTACTGTTTTTTGTTCTTTGAAATTTGGACTCTCAGGTACAAAGTTCATAGATGTAAACAAGCTCAAAACTGAGCCTGCTCTAGTCCTGTGTTCTCAAGTTGCAGACATTTGTCTTTACACCTGAACAGCATTCAAAGAGAGACCAAACTTAAAAATGAAAAACAGAGCACCAAGACTGTCTGCTATAAGGTAATGTAACAGCCATTTATAACAGCAGGCAATGGCCACCTTAAAAGAACAAAGTAAAGTGAGTTGTATCTAATCTCCTGTCCTGTCCCCCATTCTGGCCATACATTCGCTTTACACTTGTCCCCTACGTTCACTTAGACTCTCCCTGCTGCCTAAATTCTAATCTTGTTTTCAGTTGGATGTGAATTTAGCTTCTCTCCTGCACCCTTAACTACAATTTTCAGGCTTGCTAACAGGGAAGGTGCTGCAGCAGTTGTGAAATATGTGGAATATAAAATAAATTGTGAGGAAGTTGGAGATAAGAAACTGCCCATTTCAGTCTTTCCTGTTGGGTGGTAACTACCAGACTTTGAAGGTAGACAAATGTGTGAAAAACAAAACAAGGGCTTAACTATTTTAGTATTCTGTTTAATGCAAATGTATCTGTACAACCTCTGTTTAAAAATGCTGTTTTCCTTTACGGTGTTCAGTATGTGGCAGATGTGTATTTGAGACTTAAATTTCAAGGTCAATAATTACAATAAAATTCAAGTACTATGCAAGCAGTTCTGATTTATCCAGACTGTCTAACCCTACTAATAAGAGTTCTGGGTTAACTTTCATAAGATTCTGAGATTATGGTCTTTTTTATAACATTTGCTTTTTTTGGTTTTGCAGGTACTCAAGGGGTTACACCACCTGCACCTGTGATTGGGCTACAGGCACCATCTACTGGCCTCCTTGGGGCACGGCCTGGTTTAATACCACTCCAGCGACCTCCAGGACTACAACGGTTTCCCTTGATGCCACCTCGGCATATGCCTCCCCATATGATGCACAGAGGTCCACCTCCAGGACCAGGGAGCTTTGGAATGCCTCCGCCACATGGAATGAAAAACCCTTTCCCACCACCTGGTCACTTTGTCAGGCCTGGCGGGATGCCAGGAGCTGGAGGACAAGGTGGGCCTGAAGAAAATAGAGATGGGAGGCAGTTTAGGAATGATAGGCAGACATTCACTCCTAATAGAGACCAAGAAAGGTTTGGAAGGAGGTCTTTTGGAAACCGGGTAGAAAATGATCGTGAGCGCTATGGTAACCGCAACGATGATAGAGATCATGAGCGACTTGGTAATCGTGAAAGGAGAGAATGGGGAAGAAGAAGCCCTGAACGTGATAGACATAGAGACTTGGAGGAGAGAAATAGAAGGTCCAGTGGACACCGAGACAGAGAGAGAGATTCTAGAGATAGGGAGTTTCGTAGAGACAAGGAAGAAAATAGAGGAAAGGAAAAACCCGAGCTGACAGACAGGGCAGATGGTGACAAAAACCACGAATCTCATAGTGGCAAAATGGAAAATGCAGACATTGTTTCAGAACTTAATAAAGGGGAATCTGAACCGAGAGGTGTAAAAGCTGATGAAGAGTTAACATCTGAGGCTACCTCATCTGTTGAGCAAGCCGAAAAGGATACCAGCTCAGTTGTAGAGGCTCCTCGCTAGAGACTGGAATTTGTCAAAAACATGACAGTGACATTTATTGGAGTGTAGAGCTTTAGAGTTGTACAGTATTGCTGTATTATATTTGCTTCTGCTATATCACAACCCCTCAGTAGTTTGTGGGGAATTGTAAGCAATTTGATTGCTTCCCTTCTATTTAAAATAGCAACAACATAACACAAAATACTGAAGATATGAATATTATCCATTTTTGCTGTAACTTTTTTAAAGTTTTGACTTTAAAAAGTTTACAAATCAAAAGTAGAAGTGCTTTCTATTTTTTTTTTAATTTAAGAAAAGGTAACGGTGAAAGCTTCTCAAAACAATAGGGATGTGTTTTTAATAAACTCTATTTTCGTAACAAACTTTAATGTGTGCTATTCTTCCTACACTGCACTGAAGTGGAAAAGGATTGTTCAACATCTTAAAGTTTGAACTGTTAATGCTGTACTGGAGTCTAAATTAGACTGTTTTGTTTATAATTGTTAAAAAGAAATACATTTGTTTGTGTAGCTATTCATAAAAGCAAATTTTTATTTGTAATAGTTATTTTGATTTTTAGATTGCTGCATTTTAATGATCTACTTGACCATACTAGGTAAAGGTTAGTGGTTTTAAAATGTTATTTGAAAAGGTAAATGTTTGTGTTTGCAATGCAATCAAGGTTTTATTTCTTTTTCAATTGGTTCTATAATGTTGCCCTAATTAATCTTTAAAAATACTTACTGACAAAGCAGACCACTTCCAACATAGTCTGCTCTGCTTGTAATGTAATATATTAAGAGTGTGTGTGGTGGGCTAGGGAAGCACCAGTTCAGCATCTTTTGTACTTGTAATTCATTAATGCTTTTTGGAAAGGAGGATGGAAGAGAAATCAAAGACACCAAATCACCAATTTAAAATGCTAACCTATTTTTTTTAAGTGGGGGAGGGGTGGAAAGTGGTGGTGGGGGTATTCAAGGATTTTATAAAATGCTGTGTTCCTTCACACAAGTTTAGCCAATTGTTTGTTTATATTAACATTACCTATTTCTTGTATTTGAGCAAGAGGTAGGCTTAACCTTTTTGCCCATTTGATGGTGGTGTAATCAAATGAATGGAAGAATACACATTCCTGTATCTGTGTAAGTTTAACTGTTCTCTCTCCATCTGCCAGATTATTTGTAAAATAAACTACAAAAGGGCAAGTGTTTAAATCTAATAGCCCTTTTGATGCAGACAATTTAGGAGCTACCAACAATAATCTGAAACTAACCACAAAACCCCAAAGAATTCTGTATCTGGAAGCTTTCTCCTTGATTACCCTGTGCACAAGAAAATGAGGCCTATATTACACAAGTTCAACTGAAGTTTATCATATGTAGTGGAAAAATTTGTATGACTCTTGTCCATGTTCACGTTTTTCCCCTTGAGAGTAGATGTGCTCTGCATTTTAAAGTTGATATTTTCTTTCCTTTCTAAACTGAAGGGCAGCTGCTTTCTTACATCAATACTTTTTTCATAGTTGGGATTTTTTTTTGGTGGGGGGATAACAGGAGGATGATGACATGGGGGAAGAGGACATATATTTTTGTTCTTGCAATAGCAGAATAAAGAAAAAAAACTGTTTACTTATTTGTAGTCACCGCAAATTCCATGTGTTAAAATTTGTGTATCCTTAATGTTAGTTCCATGCTGGGCCAAACTTTTTTTTATTGACAAGAACAGGTATTTGTTTAAAATTGTTAATAATTGTCGATTCTGATGATCAGTCTTTGGATCCTTTTTTCCCCCCAAAAAACTTGGAGACAAGCATAAAGGAGATGGAAGGCTTACATTTCTGATTAGACGTCACTCTATACTCCCACCACTTAGTATTCATTTTGAAACACTGTAACCAGTTTAACAGGTTGCCTATAATGCCATTTATCACACAGTATATACTCTTTCATGCCAGTAAAATTAAGTTGTAAAATCTGCCTCCTTTGGGTTAGCTTACTTCAATATTAAACTGCTTCAATTTTTAGCTCACTTCTGAAATATTTTCCTCTAAGATGCCTGTAGTAGGGGGTTACTGAAATCAGTGCAACCAGCCGTGGCTGAGATTCCCTCCCTCCCCTGTGAGCTAGAGCAAGCAGGGTGGGTTATTTCATTTAAAAACTTTCTAAATAATTCAAACTTATAATTGTAGTGCCCTTTATATATATAGCTTGGTCATTTTAATGGACTTAAATTTAAGCATAAAATTGTCATTCCATCTAATAATTAGTAGTTTTGCAAGTAAACAGTTGGCAGTTTGTATAAAAACCCATTCTAGAAGTAGTAACTCAGTTTGTATTGATGTAAGATAGTGGAAGTGTAAGTTTCCCTGCCACCATGGATCAAGCCAGATCTATACCACTGTAGTGCTCACTAACATTTGCCTTTAGTAAATTAACTTCAATAATTTTACCATGTATTGTCATCTTTCCTTCAGTAAACTCAATCTTGGTTACATGTCCAAAACTGTAGCTTTAAGGAGCAGGCCTTATTGGTGCCTGTATGATTTCAAGTGTCCAATCTCCAGTAATGCTAAAACCCAGCAACCACCACCCTCAGTCAGTCAAGTGTGTGCAAAGTAACCTTCTGATTGCTTAGGCTCATAAGATACAGCAAACTTATGCATTTTTTAGTTTTGCATTAGAGCCATTCTATTTGTAATGAAATTGTAATCTAGGTATCTAAAAGGGCAGCCAACTATTCCCATAGCTCAATTATGAATTCACAATGTGAAGGCATGTTCCAGATCATGTATTTAAAAACCCTTAGTAGGTGGCAGAAATTACTGGGCCTTTGAAGTGTTTGGTTGCTATAAAGCAGGCTATAAAAACTACCTTGAGAAAAAAAAATTTCAATGTCTGGTGGCAAGGGTGCTGTGCCTATATACATTCAAGTGCATTGCCATTTAGCCACATGCCCTGGGCCAAACCAGCTGAGTTAGTAAGATACCTTACCAAGTTATTTAAACTAGTAAGTCTAATGCAAGAGTTCTTACCGGTCTGTATCCAAATATAAAATATTACTGCATAATGCTATATTTTGCTAAGCAGGTAAGGCTTTGTGTGAACTACTGACCTTGTTTTCACCACCACCTCTAACTGTAGTAGCAAGGAGGGGCCCTTGCTGCTATGACATTTGCTTCCCTTTCCTACACAGCTAATTTGTAAGAAACCCTATTCTCAAATTAAGTGCATTTCAGGCTCTGAGATAGTGTTTTGTCATACTTTAGAAGCAGGGTTAAGTCTCACCCATAGACTGTCAAATTAAAGTTGTCAGTCACCATTTAGTATTGGTGCAAATAAGTAGTCAGGCACAAGCAAATTTGGTTCAATAATTCTTCCTTTCACTAGAGGCTGTTTTACAAGTCTTCTCACTATTTCATTGATCTAATGTTGAATGGTCTTTCAAAGTGGAATATGAAAGAGTGGATCCATATAGGGATCCTGCAACTAGCTCATGCCCTTCATTAGCTTTGCCTTCTTTCCAGCTGTCTCCTACCAAGTCTCACTCAGTGTGAGATGTTAAAGGAAACAGTGGATCTGGTGTCTTTGCATAGCCTAGCACTACTGATCATGCATGTGCTGTGAAAGAATGATACCAGAGTAACAGCTGCACTTAAGTTTGTGTGTGTGTGTTCAGTCTTTACTCTTACATCTTAAGGTTTTAGAACTGAAAGCCACTGCATATGTGCAAGTTGCTATAAACCCTATCCCTGTTGTAGTATCTGTTTTAATCACATTACTTTAGAACAGATTGACAAGAAATACTGAACATTCCATTTAATTGCAGTATGCACATTGTACAAAATTGAGGACATTTACTGCTTTTTATACACCACAAGACAAAGTTAGCAGTAAGATTAAAGCAAGCTCTTGGCAGAATAAGGCCAAATTATTTGCTTAGTGAAATGTACATTGCTGTAGCCTACTCTTCCACCTTAAGTAGCTCTAGGTGGAATTTATATTTAGATCTTAGCTATTCCAATAACACCACAAGCCAGACGAGCACCAGCATTGCCAGTTTTTGAGCTCTCCTCATTTCCCCCTTTACCCAAGTCGTCATCTTTCTCATGGACCTAGAAAGAGAAAAAGCAGGATTAGCACTAAATGTTAAATCAGTTATTAAGATGTCAACCTTTAGGCATGCACCTTAAATGATAACATTGCAGTGTTCCCTCTGGATTCTACTTCATACCACAAACTTTTGCCATCTAGTTGACAACAGTAAGTAAAATTCCTCCTCACTAAGGCCTAGTGGGAAGTCAAAATTAAGATAAGCTGACTCCAGCTACATAATTAATGTAGCTGGAGTAGTATAATCATGTTTCCACTGTCCACAGAGCAGGAAACTGATGGGAGCAAGTGCTCCTGTCAGCTTCCCTTACAAAAGGAAGAATACTGGACCCCAGCTAGAGCTGCCCTCAGTGTTTGATTTACAGGTCTATACTAGACTTGCTATGTTCAAATGCCAGAAGATGGACCTCTGGAGCATCAATCCACTGGTAAGTATAGATGTGACCTTGTGCCTCCAGCAACAAGAGGGAAACAGAAGTACTTCCTGATATATTGAGAGCAAGGTTTAATATTCAGCACAGAATTAGTTAAGTGCCCTATACCTGACATGTATCCTGAGTACTTATGACTCTAGTACTTCCATAAGATTAGACTGGCTGTAAGAGTATGCTCCATTTATTTGGAAGAAGTTGCTACCATCAAGTTAACTCCAAATTTAAAAAACCAAAAGCCAGCCTTAGTCTGGCACCATTAAGCTACTGAAGACTAAAAAAAGCCTCCCACTTATAATAGGGACTTAAGCCAATAGGCAGATTTTCAATATCCAGTAATGAGTCAAAGCAGATTGTATCCTATACTAGCCACATTTGGCCAGATAAGTGTGAAGTGCTATAATGAACTCTAGCCAGAGCTGGTTGGACATCATGGAGTTAAAGCATTTATAGCTAGTGACTGTGCTGAGCTAATAAATCAGATACTTCTGCTTGGTTGAACACTGATAGAAGCCACTAAAGCAGTGGTGATTTTACACTGCCTTCACACATGATGCAACTGAATTATAAGAGTTTCAATGCAAAGTTCTTGTTCCAAAGGTATAGTATGCAAGGTGTTATAGCACTAATTATGCTAGTTACAAACAGATCCAGGTTTACTATTAAGTCAATATTTAGACCCTTGCTTGAGTGCCTTTTGTCAAATACTTCACTGACAGACTAGCATTCAGGTAATTTGTTTGGGTACATGTTAACCTAAAAGTAGAGGAAACAATGCAAAGACACCAGATCTACTGTTTCCTTTAACATCTCACTGAGTGAGACTTGGCAGGAGACAGCTGGAAAGAAGCCAAAGCTAATGAAGGGCATGAGCTAGTTTCAGGATCTATGAGGGTAAGTCAAGAAGTATCCAAAGTGTATTTATTAAAATTACCACAACAGCAATACAGAACTCATAAGTATCATTTTTCAACAGTTCCCCTGATTTTCACACTTGGTCCAGCATCACACAAGCTTTTGTATACCTTCAAAGAGTGTTTTTTGGCCAGGCAGCAAGCCATGTGTGCACCTCCTTCAAATCATGGTCACTGGCAAAATGACTGCCTCTTAAAGCATCTTTGAAGGGGGGGGGGGGGAGAGAGAATCTCTGCTATTTGCTCTCCAGCTCAGTGGTGGATCCATGTTTCATCACCAGTGACAATATGACTCGTGTCACCTTCCTCATGATACTGGTTCAAAAGACAGTTATAGATGTCTGTGAGTTGTTTGGGAACCCACATTGCACAAACTTTGAAGCAAAGTTTGTGGTGGATGATTTCATAGGCAGAAATCATGACTATTCTCAAACAGGAGGATGACTGTCGATGATCAGCACACAGACTTGTTCAATGTCCCTTTCAGTAGTCAATGTGGATGAGCATCCTGATCATTCTGTATCAGTGACACTTGTTCAAAAGTGTCTGAACATGTCAATCCATTTGTACATGCTGTGCTGCAGCAAAACAGTCACTGTACTGATAGCCTTTCTGCACCTTTTACACCTTCAGCCCACAAATTGAACCACTGCACGCTGCTGCTCTTCGGTGCATGTTGTAAGTGTAGCAGCTCTGTTGACCCCCACTAGTGGGGAAAGACATCTGAATGGTCTAGGCCAAATGTCACTACAATATAGGGAGGTTCTGTGCTTACGGTTGCGCATGAATGCAGCAGCTAGGCCAATCACAAAAGATCGGAACAGTTTGCAGATCCTATATGGGTAAGTCAAAGTCTGCCAAAAGTCATGTCAGCCAGGAAGGCATCACTTGTTGAAATCAAGTTGGAGTAGGCTGTATGACAACTAGCACCAAATCATGAAGTCAGATAATGTCTATAGCTTAAGCTCTCCAACATGTACAGCCTCTTTCCATCTATTCCCTTAACATAGATCAAGATTTTCCAGTCCTGATGCACAAGCTGATTTTAAGCTTCCCCTTTAAGGCTAGTATCTTTCCCTCACATAAGCCTTCCTTTCATTATGCAACCCATACATCATTGGCCAGGTCTCATTTTAAAATGAAGCTTCAAGTTTTGGCACTGCAGACAGCTAACTCAGTTTGTGCAAAAGAATCAATGCAAATGTTCTAGAATCAATAACATGGGACAGCTTAAGAGTTTGAGGCTGGAAAAAAAATCAGCCTTCAGCATGACCTGTACACACAGCCATCACTGCTTGATATTAGAAATGTGTTCACACAAAAGTTCTGCAAAAGATTCAGGGAACTAACTTAAATGAAATTTAAAAAGTATCCTGCAGTCTGAAGTCAGGATATACTGTCCCTTTTAGGCACCCCAGATTCTTGCCAGAAAAAAAAATTGCAGCAGTAGTCTATACAGAAGATTCCAAAACCCCAGAAAGTTGTGTTAATTGCAGAATTAGTTTAAAGCAGGGCTACTCACAGCCTGTGGGTGGGAACTAAAACAAGAGTAGTCAATATAATGGTCTTCTGTTGATATGAGTTTTAGTAGTTAAAGAGAAATAACAGTCCAGGAGTTTAAGCACTGTCATATGGGTGGAAATCATTAATATCAGCAGAACTGACTTCAGTGGGGTCTGTTTGTTGTATAGTTTTGCCTTAATCTTTGTATTCATGCCTGTCAATGGGAAAAGCTAGTTGCATATATATATATATATATATATATTCGTAAGTATATGCAGCCACACTTAAGTTGCAGCTCTCAGCATGTGCTGAGAGTATCATTGGGGCCCTGAGACTTCCAAAGTTGAGTAGCCCTGGTTTAAAGTATTCAGAAATGCTAGTGTTGACATTTAGGTTGTCTTCAGATACCCAATTTAGATGAATAGTACTGTTCAGTTACTACTACAGGATCTATTAAGACTCACTGCTTCAGTTTATTTGGTTTGGCTTTTTCAGTGTTAGATTCTGTAGAACAGGTATATTATACCAGATTTCACTCACAATAAGATACTTACCACCATAGTGCGTCCAATAATAGACTGTGGTCCATTAAGAGAAATTAAAGAATCCGTAATAGACACTTTTGCGACACCATCTTTATTAGCAGTCACATTGCCAAGATCTCCAACATGCCTAGAATGCACAGAAATAGAAGTCATGAGTCTTAAGACATTAAGTCTGAATCATTTGCCAGCAAAGGTATTAGCTTCTCTATTTAGTGACTGGTATGGGGTTAGATTCCTGGTTTTGTTTAATACAGAAGCAATGTGTTATTTGTATCATGCTTGCTGCTTCAGTTCAAACAAGCATGCCCTCTAACCCCATTCTTGCTCCAATTTAAGGCCTCACTATTTAAAAAAAATAGTCAGCTACTGAAGGATGGGAAGCTTGTTAACATATTGGCAGAGATTCAATTTGACTTCAATCCCAGCAGAGCTCTGGAAGCCACAAAACACAGCTAGTGTTTTGAACATGAAGATGTTGGGGGTGAGGGAATATGGCTTAACCAAGAGAGATAGCAGTCCATTTTATTAAACTTCTTGGTCAAACTCACTACCTGGTAACATTAATAAGCCCACACTATACGGTAACTTTTCAGTTACTCACATGTTATTCATCTCAACTAGCCAGCTTTGAGTTCTGCCTTACTCAGACACTAGAAACATCTTAGAATGACAGATTCTATCCACACTTTAAAGCTTTTGATGCCATATCACACAGCTGTATTATCTGAATCAAAAGAAGCTGTCAAGAGGGGGGAAAATATGCAGGCTCTTCACTGATCTAAATATATAATAAAGGGACCATTGATTTGCTATGCTATGAGAAGTGACCTTATTTGGCATTTTCCAGGCTGTCATACTGTGGAACATTCTCCCCAGAATGTGTCTCCACCTTCCAATTCTCAAAATGGGAGACACGCATCCAAAGAGTGGAGGGAGGTAAATTTGTTTGTTCTTTAAAGTCCAGGATTTTCCAGAAGAATTAGGATTCCCAGAGAAAAACTATGGGATACTTTGTGTATGATTTACATCAGTCATGTATATAAATTCAGTATGGCCAAATATCAATTGAGATGGTTAGTGTTTGACTGTATTCTGCTTGTAGTAGCATAATTGCCTGTATTTTGAGACATCTGTATTTTATGAATCACAAAATAAACTATAGGCAAGGAAAGTTTTGCTTACTCTAGTTACCCAAGGATTTAAAAATATGGAGATCTATGTTAACAGAATATGGAAACAGGTGAATCTATTCTGACTAGTTCTTCTGATCTGGTATTTTGGTATTAGCTGCTGTCCAAAGCTTTTAAAGTGACAAAAAAAATCTCTAAGTGAATAGTTCACCATTCTCTTACTCCCCCCCCCATGCTTTTTGCTGAAAATTACTAATTAGCACTGTAGAGGCATGAAAGCAATTTTAAAATTGCTATGCTAGTTTCTCCCCAAAGAAACCTCTCGAAGGTTTGTTTGTTTAAATGGTCCTTAAGTTCACTGCTACACTAGATACTCAAGGAAGGCTCAAAAGTATAATTCTTCAGACACTCCAGTTGTAACCTTTTCTAAAGATGCTTACAAAAAAACTATTCATACAACATCCAGCACTTGTAATCACACCAGCTTCTGCCAGAAGTAGCATCTTAACTCTAACATTTAAGCCAAACGTGCTTGCAATTTTGCTCTAGTTCAGAACTGGAGTCAAATAAAGACAAGCCAAACTACTTCAGACAATCATAGCCTTGCTTATGGTGTAGCTGTTTTTGCTAGAAGTTGATTTGGGATATTACTAGACATTGTTTAAACACTTGCAATTAGTGATCACATTTACTATACATCCAAAGTGAAGGATTTGACCAATATGATTAACAGCACAATATCACAAATTAGGCCTCAACATGCAATAAATGTTTGCTACTTGGAACACCTGTCACAGTGCTGAAGTCCAATCACTTGTGAATGCTGACATTAGCCTAACACCTTTACTTTTTGCTTCATTCCACTTGCCATCATTACAAAAATTTTCCTCAAGTCCACAGTGCCAATTCTGAATAGAGGCACTGCTCTCAAGTACCAGAGGTGTCATTTGTCAGTTATTCACAAGGACATCATACACCATAACAATTAGGACTCTGAAATTTCTTGAGTGTTAGCCAGAGCTATAAAGCAACTAACTGCAATACTCACTTCCCACTCACGTTTAGAAAGATCTAGGAGTTCAGTTTAGCATTTTCTGGACTAGAGATTGATGTAAGCTAGTTCAAGTGCAGGGTGTGGCTACACAATTTACATGATACCCCTCAGCAAATTTGTACAGTGCAAAATACCCATAGTGCATGATCAACCCTGATAACTGGCAGGGACATATACTCCTGCAGATGAATTCCTGGAATCCCCACTATGCTTTCTAGGGATGTTAAATTTAGATTAATTGAATAGTCAATAGGATTTCCACTTTTGAACTGGAGCAAGAGCCCTGCTGGGAAGCCCCACAAGTAGCGCAGGAGGCACCTGAGCCTTTGACATGTACATGAGCCCCACTGGGGCTTGTGTACATTTCAAGAGCAGAATCACAGCAGAAGCAGTACAACTGGAGACTACTTCAGTCCCTGCTGTGCCTCCACCTCTGCTGCCCCCTGCGGAGATGGTGCTGGGGAACCGGCTTTTAAGCTGTTTCCCACCAGCACCTGCTCCCCCACCTTGTCGCTTCCCCTATCAGAGGCAGGGGATCATATCCCTAATGTCGTCTTTATCTCCCAATGCCCCCCTCCCCAGAAACACTCCTACTCAGGGTTCCCCACTGTACAGTGGACTGCAGTGGCTGAAGCCGGAGAAGGCCAATGGCAGAGAGTGAACTTTATAGCAATTTCAAGGGGGGGCCCAGCTGGTGTTGAGAAACTGGTCACATCAGTTGCTGCTAGAGATTACATTAAAAAAAAGGAAAAGAGGAAAAATTTAAATACTTATGTTCACCTCTCTTGATCTTGTGGTCCACCATGTTTTTTGCCATGAGGATTGAAGTGAGCACCTGCACTGGTACATCCTGTAACAATTACAATCTTCAGTACAAAGCTATAGAGAACTGAATATTCTTTCAGATGCATGATTTAAGTTCTGTTGGCCAGCAAGACACCTTATATTATTAACACAGGAAATAGTTATTGAGTGAAGAAAGATGTGACACTTTCCACTCAAAGGTGACACTTGCCCTGAACACCTACTGGAGTTTATTTGCAAGAGATGCTTCGAGACCTTTTAGAGCTCTTTATTCATGTGTCAAGCATGAGAAAGGCTGTCCTGACTAGTGACCTACCTATATATGTAAAATGGAATTGCTAGTGAGCCAACCCTTAGCTTCAGCTTAAGATGACACTTTGAAAGTCTATCCACCCAGTAGCGAACAGAATCCAAATTTGAACTAGCTGGCCTCAAGTTGTTACATTCCATTGCCTATTTGCTTTCAGATTAAAGCTGCATTTGAGTACTAGCTCAGATACAGTGGTCATACAGGCAGTCCCCGACTTACGCAGATCCGACTTATGTCGGAAAGCCCCGTTCATAAGCTGCTCTGGTGCCCCTGGTCTGCTGGAGACTGTCTCCAGCAGACCAGGGGCACCGGGCGGGTTCCCGCGCTTCTGAGGCTTTGCCAGAGCAAAGCCTCAGAGGCGCGGG